TGTTAGGACAATCGACTTAGGGACTGCTAGCTTCAGTTTTTATTTGATGCTCGTATTGTTCATGCCCATTTGTAATTGCAGATCTGTCATCGTCATCATCCTCGTCTTCATCCATGGGCTCACGTTTAATAACCGGATTATTCACAGGCGGTGGCGGCGGTGGTGGTGGTTGATCATCATCAATCCAACGTTGCATCACATATTTTGTGCATTTTTCAGCGCCGGGTAGTTCCTATAAATAGAGATAATCAATAATTAAAAGGATGAATTATTATAAAGATAATGAGAAAGAATAATTATTGTCGGGAATGATGATAAAATTTGGATGGTGTTGAAATTAAAAAATCCTATTGGTTGATCATCCTAACTTTAACCAATTAGAATATTATATTTCAACATCATCCGAATCTCCGACAAAATTATTATAAAGATAATTATCATAAAGATGATGAGACAAATAAATAATAGAATAGAAATTTACCTGAATATATTTTGTGATTCCTAAATGACTTAGACCAAGCATTTCGGGACCACTAGCATGTGTTTTTGAAGGGACACCTTGTATATTAATTTCATCAAGAATCTTTTTCCAAACACCACTAGATGAACTAGCAGAAAATTTACGACCGGGTTGGTCTTCGGCGGTAACTTGAAACTAGAAACAAAATTAAAAGTTATTTACGAATTTTAAAGTAATATATAACGTTAATGAGACGTACGATTGGTGTATCACCGCCATCTAATATCTCACTGGTGTATGTTGTCCTCCTTGTAACATCGACGGCGCTCAAATATTGTTTTTTGCTCATAAAACCAACCGGGAATATATACCGATTAGTATGATAAGCTTCTTTATCCCAGACTATTGCTCCTATAAATAAAACATAGTAATAATTGAAGAAATATATTAGATAAATTAGACAAATAAATTAAACAAATTGATTAAAATAAATAAAAATGATGATATACAATATGAAGCACGTAGTAATTACCTATACGATAAATCGTCACCTCATTGGTACCTTTTCCAATAGTAACAGGTAATTTTAATGTTCCATCGGG